AGGCATTAAATCCTCCATTGGATGTCAGATTATTGGACCTGAATCGTTTTGACCGTGACAATTTACATTTTATGCAAACAATTATTTGTTGCTTATTAGATTTTACTATTTGATTACGACAAAAGATATCACGGGAAGATTCATCGAGCAAGTGATCTTTTTTATCACTTAGCACTTTGATGTTGGCGCAGACGGAGTGGCGCAAGCGCCATTAGTTTTTTGCCATTCGATCAGGGTGATCGGGGTCAGACGGCTTCCGTGATTAATGATGCCCTGCGTCGCGACGTCACGACGCCACGCAATTTCTATCAAAAACTTTTCACACTTAACTCGTTAAACACCGACTATCAAGACGGTTCGAGGACTAATGGGACGGGTTCCTGTTGATGGATTGCCTTAGAACATCACCTTTCCATAGGCATACACTAGAGGCTCAAAGCAGCAATGTGGATCTCATATGGCTATCTGTTATTGCGGAAACGTTTCTGTGATCCATAACCTTTCAGTGATTCGCCCATTGCCTGCGGTGTGGTGGTCCCGTTCGAGAATTGCTAAAGTTAGCGGTTAAGGGTAGATGTCCACATATGAAAGGGTTGTAGAGGCTGCAAATGGATGCGGAATTGAAAGAGTCAGGATTTCTCTTCAGAAGCAGTCGGGAACCGTAATGCGCTCGATTTAGCACCAGCTCGCTGGACGAATTCAAATCTGAATGCTGGAGTGAAGACACCAGTGAGTGGAGGATGGCTGATAGCATATATGAACAAAACAAGATTAGAACATGGCCCTTCGATGCAAATACGTATCTTTTCAAAATGGGAATCGAACGCTCGTTACAAAAAGATCGCAGGCCTCAGTAGTCACAATTGGAGGAGGATCGACTGAGCTTCAGAATGTAAGTGCAGGCAAAAATCTTTCGGCTCGAAATACTTAGCTCACGTTTCTTTAGCTGCCTGGCTAGCGCTTATACGGGTTGCATATCTTCTAAACCACTCTTTCAAAATCATTGCCTTTGAGGGAATCGGAACGATGAACTAGGATCAACTCTTGCGCCAGGCCAATTTCGAAAGTTTACGATCTCGCTCAGATTTACGGATTACGTAAACTTTCCTCAATGCTCTTGCCGCGAATGGCTAGAGCACTGAAGATTATTGAACGGTGCCCGGCTCGTTCAAATACGAAAGAGGGGAGTGGAAGCCCTAAGATCAAGCCTCCGAAGTAGGGGAACGCCGGGGAGGGTGACCATTATAGTATGACAGGAGTTTGAGCGTCTGAGATCACAGTAATCCCGAGCTGTTGTTTAGGCGAGAGAGCGTGAATGAAAGCATGAATTGAGCTATTCAAAAGGTTGAGTTCTAGATCGTGAAGCCTTTAAGCCTTGTCTACATCATCATACAGCCCATAATACCATCGCTTTATTTGTACTTCAGCTCCACACGCTCCCTCCTTCCATCCAAAACTGTCGCCTAGTGAAAAAAATGGGGGGAGGGGGGATGGGGGATGGAACATGTCTAGAGAAACACCGACTTCTATAATTTCGTGATATTTTTAAAAATCCCACGCGCGCTTCTTTCCTGGAATTCCCTCAAAACAATCAAAGGAACCGTCAAAAAAGGCCGAATAGTGATCCACATCCTTCCATCCAAAAGAGCAAGTATACCCCACTGCCAAAATTGTTCTATCCAGATAATTTGGTTCACTCGGAATTCATGACCCCTCTTCGTAACTCCGTCCAGAAATTTCGTCACTCCGAATGTGATCCCCTCCCAAAAGTGCAACTGCGACCCCTTTCAAAAATCGCAAATACGACCCCCGTTTGGTCCAGTCAGATTCACGGTTGACCCAAACTAGATCACTCTTTTTTGCATGAAAGGCTTCTTTAGGCTTTCAGAAAAGCTTTTTTTGGTTAATTTACATATGGGATGTAGGAGGTAATAAGGAGGTAACATAAGGAGGTGAAAAATCTACTAGCGAGCTTATAGAATCATCATTAAAGATATGAGAGGGAAGAACGAATATTTTTTGAGCTCAATCTACTAACACAAGATAATGACAGAAAAACAGGCTGAACTGGACGAGAATGCTCATCTGCAATGTAACCGTGTAATTCTGCTAGCAGGAAGTCCAGCGCTGCTCTGATCAAATAATCTGAATGGGCAGTTCGCGCTACCTTGCAGCAGAATGACCGGTTTCATGCTATTGGTTGATAGCCGATTTCAAGTTGTGCAGATAAAAAGTGAAAAGTGAGAGCGATAGCGATGAGATTGTTCCGGTTCACGTTTAAGACGAATCTGGAGAAAGTCGTCAACGGCTAGGAATCTGACCAAAGCCATAAGCAAGCGTGGGAGTTGGGGGACGACCGATCCCTGGAACTGGTCACACAAGACTGTCATCGACGACCCGCTATTTGGTCGTCAATAGCTGAGATTCACTCTGAGATTACAAACATCCGTTCCGAAAAACTGATCCGAAAACGATGTCCGCCACTTTTTGTCGGAGGCTTCTTTGCCTCATTTGAGATGTGTTACAAAGCGAAGATCCAGGACGATGAGTTACCGGCCGCCAGGTTTATCAAAGGTAGCATGTTCGAGTAGAAAAGTAGAAGTAACCCTGAGAAGAACTGTGCTACATATAGGGTCGAAAATGTGAGCTAGCCGGAAGTCGGGTTGTCCGTGGCACTGCTATTTCTGCATTTCTGATCTCGACCTTCCTATAAAGGACATAAAGGAGTTGAAATTGTTGGGCGTGAATGCAATTACTTCAATTCAAATGATGGCGCTATCGCAAAATAAGGGGCAATGTGGAGGCAATGCATTTGACTTCCCCTTCTTTAAAAATGAGGGTGAACCTTGGGTGGGGGACTCCAGCTTACGTGAGCAATTTTCTACTCTCCCGAAGTACCTGCTTTCTCCTAGGCTCCAGCCATCTTGCGATTGCGGCCCAATAGATCCTGGCGCTTTAATGAATTGTCTACATGTGCGTTCTGGCCACACGATACTAAGGTACACCTTGAACATGAACCCTACAAAAAATTTCAGTAGCAGAACTTGTTTGTACAACTCGTCTGGCAGCCCTGGCGGAAACATGGGCTGTCCGTGCACAGGAATCTTCCTAAGACTGCTCTCACCGTTTCACTCATCGGTGGTCTTGGGCTTTGAGAAAGAAAAACGCTGATTCCAGCATCGTAGTATAAGCCAAATGCAGTCAAATCTCCCCGATTCTGAGTGACACTCGCATGTGCGGTGTAATCCAAGGTACTCAGGCTTACCTCGAAGCTTCACTGGCTAATTCCTGTACCTTCTCCAAAATTTGAACTTACCATTTAGATTCAAAGTGGACATGAAACAGAATCAGCTTTGAAGTGAAAACAGGTTTTTTTCATTGAGAACCCCCCCCCGGATTACAGTCGAGTGAAGCCGGCGCTTTGTGTTTCTATAGCGCCCTTTAATTTTTCAACGAATGGTCAATTTGCCGTATACCTCCCATGCAGGTTTTCGGCTATAATCTTAGAGATTCAAGGTCGCCGCTGATCCAACCAAGATTTGCATTACGCTTCGCCGGCCTAAGACTTAGTCGGGCTTATGCGCTATGACGCGCAGGTGCGGCATGACGCCGAGAACGTGAACACTGGAACTTGAGGCTCTCTCAACTATCGTGACATGCGATCTTCTTGTCTATATCGCGATGTAAGCTGAACGGAGATCGTTCAGCTTCGCGTAAATGGATCAAATGAGGAACTAACGATAAGTGTATGGTGTTGATTAACGCCAATGAAATCCCAACAATTCTGTTTAACAGCGGAGTGTAAATATTGTATAACACAGGGAGGCACCAAAATTTTATTTCCAAAAGGATATCCAAAAAAAAAATCAAAAGTTCCAAAAAGCAAGAAACTGTTTGAGAAAGGAATTCCTTCGCTGCAAAATTCCGGTGTATAACACTTTCTTCAGGCATATTATTTTTTACAATATTTATAATTAATTATTATAACATTTATAATTAAATTTTTTACGATATTTATAATTATAATTTACAATATTTAGGTGCTGAATGAGGCTCCGGGACAGCATAATATTGAGAGCAGTGGAGTCTTTAAATGCATTTTTCAGCTTGTGTAATTACTTCCTGAGCTGCAGATGCACATTGACGAACAAGGTGTTGCTATGTCGACAATTTGCCAGGGAAATGGTATCAACTCAACTGCTTAGTACTTGGCTAAGATTCTATTCTTTAGCTCTGCGATGTGGATCCTCATAAACTTCACCCCCGTTCTGTTTAAGTTTCTCAGATAAAAGCAGTGATCGCAATGATGGAGGGCGTGTTGCGGTGGTGATGACGTCATTGAACATTACTGGTAGAAAGACCTTAAGTGGTAATACCAAATATACTCTGGGCCTATCCTACCAATGACGCTAGATAACGTCGTCAAAACCGCACCGCCCTCTACCCAGGCGTGATTACTGCCTTAATAATGAAAACTGCTCCCCTAGCAAGCTTGGTTATCGTAAGTATCTCCATTTCGGCAGAGGACCTGTACTGACCAAACTATGATGAAAATACTTTTCTGAATCATATCGAATTGATAAGAGCTATATTTTATTACTTCCTCCAAGGCTCCAATGAGCCTAAGATGATCCAAATCTTGGAGCCTCGAACCCTGCAGTTTCATATTTTTTTGTGTTGGGCACAAGGGCCAATACACCAGAAAGGCCTCCATTAAAAAGGAGAGCATACCAGTGACCGTGGCTGGTCATCAATCAATGGAGATCGCGCGGGAGTCCCCTGCAATAAAAGGGGGAGCCTTGAGTTAGTTGTACTTGGTTTTTTTCTCTACGCGTTAGTATTCGTCGTGGCACATCGCTAGGTGCCAGCTTTGATCGACCCGTATACGCCTTAGTGGCCATATTGCCTTAGTGGCTTCCGTTGTTCGCCTTCGTGGCAGATTCCCCTGTATACGCCTCAGTGGCGAAGCGTTATTGCCTTTGTGGCAGATTCATAAGGATATGCCTAGTGGCGCACGGTTAGTTGCCCTAAGTGGCTAGTTCGTTGTTTTGGTTTTTGTCAATAAATCTATTTAATACTCTGCGTCCTTTGAGTTCGAACCGTATCTCGGTCAGATACCCGGGTCAGTATTCGGCTTACATGGGGGCCGAACCGACTGACTTGAGTGGGAAGTTTAGTCAAAGGGATTCTTATTGATTATTGATCGGGCTAAGGCAGGAACGCCCGTGGTGCCGCAGAGAGGCGCACATTGGATCAAAGCCACCGAAGGGTTAGGACTGTGCCGAGAGGAGAGGCACTTGGATTTCAGAAAGGGGTGAAAGCAGGAATTACTCGTGGGGAGTACCGATATATAGTACGGTCTGTGATAGCGGATAAACCCGTCAGTGTTCGTCAGTTTATATCGCGTCGCTTGATTGATTGCTGTTCGTGACTTGGAGATAAAGGCACTGATGGAAGAAGTAATCTCTGACGTTTCCAGGCCCACGATGTCATCAGTTGGAGAAAATATGGAGCTAGGCGAGAATGCAGAGCCTAATAGTCAGGTAAGAGTTCGAGTCCTTCCGTACGCAAAGGAGAGAGGAGAGAAAGAAGGCAAGTGTGTGCGCGTATTGGTGCAGTTACAGAGGAAGATAAGCGAGATACTAAGTAAATCGCGAGTGTCCAGGGAGAAAAGACACGAGATTGATAGAGAGTTTGAGTTGAGTATAAATAAATTGGAAGGGAAGGTGATGGAAGGTAAGGGAGATCTAGGAATTTCGCCTAGTTTAGCGGTCTCTATAAACAAGATGTTGGCCGAAAGAGGGATCGAGTCGAATGAAGAGTGGAACGACTATATAAGAACCATGGAGAGAGATGGGGATATATTAGCAGAGCTCTGTGAATTGTTAGAAACAGATGTGTTACAGGTCAAAGATAAAGTGGAGCTGCTCCACGACGCGGTCAAGAGGGCTGACTCGACAGACCATGGTAAGCCGGGAGTAGAGCCACTTGGTGAAGAGAATCAAAACGCGACACAAATGAATGTATTGCAGCAAGCGATGTCTTCGACTGGACATCCGTGTGTGCAAGCTTGGAGGCAACCTTTGGAGAGGCCCGAAAGGACGGAATGGGCAGTGGCCAACGCAGGTGAGGCTGTTGTTAATCAGTTTACAAACTATCTAAGAGCTATGACGTGTCCAGATCCTGGGATATTCAAAGGCGCTAGGAACGAGGATTTTAAAGGGTTCATAAGAAAATTTAGGAGAAAGTATGAGGAAGTGGTTAAGTGCGAGTCGACCCTAATAGAGATTCTGAGCGATGACCACTTGAGTGGGCGAGCGAAAAATATTTTCATGGCCTTACCTGGCGCTGTTAAGGAGCAGGGGTTTGAGGCAATAACCAATGAGATGGCTCGACTGTTGGCCTGTGATTCGACTGCAGGGAGAATGAGAGCCCTGACGGAACTGAAGCATTTAAGACTTAGACCCAATCAGGAAGTGGCCGAGTTCTGTGTGGTATTGGAGAAGTTGGGGAGGCAAGCGCACCCGGAGGGATCATTTGAAGACCGGTCCTTGGAATATGCTCAGATACTGTTGGACAATTTAAAGGTCGGATGCGCGCGACATTTTCAACTCGGTATGTCATTGCATAAGGTTCGCGTCAAAGAGGGCCACGAAGAAGTTGCAAGCACATAGCATCTTAGCTTGAGCAATCGAAGTTAATGTGTTGAGTAAGTATCGGAAAGAGGATGCAACCACCATGGAAGGCCAGGCTAGCCCAGTATCAGGAAGGAAGGGACGGAAGAAACGCCATAAGAGTGGCAGCGAGAGGACCAGGGAGCGAGGAAAGAAATAGTCAGAGAGAGCCTAGTTACAGAGCACCAGCAGGGGGGCCAAGGAAATCAGGCGGAGTGCAAGAGCCGAGTAGTCGCCCTCTAGCAGAAAGCAAGCGATGCTATAACTGTTCAAGATATGGGCACATAGGGCGCGAATGCCCTCAACGGGCCACAAGAGTAAATCAAATCGGGAAGAAGGAGCAACAAGAAGGAAGAGGAAAGGCCACGCTCTCAAGCATAGTCGACCAAGCGCGTAGCCCTGGGGATGGCGGTAAGACGACGGAAGAATAGTGAAGACGCGCTAATTGGGAATCGTGTCGTTGCATCAGTTCGGCTCCTCAATGGGGAGAATCCAGCACTCATCGACACGGGATCCATGATCAGCATCGTACCGGTGGAGGTATTAGGCAAGGCAAAGGATAGAGGATTCGACGTAGATACCCTGAAGCTAGTCGAGAAGTCGCAGCTAGCTCCAGTCTTCGATGCATCCGAGAACAAAATGGAGTTTTTAGGAGCAGTTTTTATCGAAACCGAACTTGAAGGAGGAAATCGCTGCGTTGTACCATTCCACATTAGCCCGGCTAAAGATGAGGAGTTGATTCTAGGCACCAATGCTCTCAGTAGACTGGGGGTGGAAGTATCCATAGTTCGGAATGAAGTGGAGGGTAACAGACGGGAGAGGAAAGGAACGATGAGGGAAAGGTAACGGTGAAATATCGCGCGTATGTGCCCCCTCACAAAGCCGCGCTGGTATCAGTACAATGCAAAGGAGAGGAAGCAGAAGGAAGCCGAGCGTGTGATATGGCCTACGAAAAGGGGGATAACCGCAGGCGTGTATAGCATTCGGGATCGAGAGGTTAGAGTCCCCGTAGTCAATAATAGTGAGGAAGGCTTGGTACTCAAGGAAGGCGAGGAAGTGGGCCACTGGAGCACCTGAAAAATGGCATCAGCGATGGGAAGAAGTGGAACCTCTGAAGTGGGATAACGAGGAGCACCAATTGCAAGGACAGGAAAGGGTTGATAGGTTGATCGAATTACTTGAGGGAAACACAGAACAAGAGGGACTGGATGGAAGCATTCGGGAACTCGTAGGAATGCATGCGGAAGCTTTTGCGATTTGCGATAGAGAACTGTCTCAGACTGACGTAACTGAAATGTCCATTGAAACAGGAAGTAGTGAGCCTATTAAGATGAAAGCACGCCCCGTTCCGCTGGGAGTAAGACCAAAATTGAAAGCGCTCCTGACAGATTTGTTGGCAAGGAATATAATCGAAAAGAGCAGGTCGGAATGGGCTTTCCCTATAGTTCTAGTCGAGAAGAAAGATGGGTCAATTAGACTTTGTGTAGATTATAGAGAGTTGAACAAAGAGGATAAAATTAGACGCGTATCCACTCCCAAGCATGGAGGCGGTTCTCCAAAGTCTAAACGGCAAGCGCTTCTTTTCCACGCTAGATTTGTGTAGCGGGTATTGGCAGATACCGCTAACAGAAGAGGCAAAGGAGAAGTCGGCCTTCGCCACTCCCGAAGGACTGTTTCAATTCCGCGTGACGCCATTCGGGCTGAGTACCAGCCCAGCCGTATTCCAAAGGATGATGGACACTGTGTTAGGTGATATATTAGGGTCTGAAGTTTTCTGCTACATCGACGATATAATGGTGTGCACGACATCAAAACAGCGGCATCTAGAGCTCCTTGGAGAAGTTTTTTCGAGGTTGGAGGCGGCAGGTCTGCGTCTGAAGGCGCAAAAATGTCACTTGATGAGGCGTAAAGTCTCGTTCTTAGGACACGTAATTGACGGAGAAGGGGTTCATATGGACCCGGAGAAAATTGCCGCAATCAGGAATTACCCCGCACCGAAAAACAGCAAGGAGTTGCGCACGTTTCTGGGCATGGCCTCCTTTTACAGGAAGTTCTGCCTGGGGTTCTCGAGGCAAGCTGGAGTACTGTTTAGTCTGACATCACCGAAATCTAAGTGGGTATGGCTGGAAACGCATCAGGAAGCATTCGAGAAAGTGAAGGACATGATTAGTTCAGCCCCGGTGCTAAGACAGCCAGATGTAACAGCAGCGAGAAATGGTAGCCGGCCTTTTCTAATTTGTACGGATGCTTCCACGCAAGGGCTTGGTGCTGTGCTATCCCAAGAGGGAGAGGATAAGCAGGTCATCCAATTTTCTTTGCGTCAAAGAGCCTCAGTAAGGCAGAGCGCAGATACCACGTGACGGATCTGGAGGCCCTTGCAGTCCTATTCGCTGTAAGGCGATTCCATATGTTCATATATGGATTGCCAACTGTGGTTATGACTGACCATCAACCACTAACAGCATTATTCAAACGAAGTAATGTATCGGCTCGCGTGTTGAGGTGGTCTTTAGAGCTACAAAGGTATAACCTGGAAATCCAGTATGTAAGGGGCAAAGCGAACCTGGTAGCAGACGCCCTCAGTAGAGGTATACCCACGCCCACAGTACCAGATTCTCTGGAGGGGCTAAACGAAGCGGTAGTGAACGCAATGGCTGCCAAGGAGGAGTCAAAGTGGTTACAAGAACTGAGGAAAGACGAACAATTGGGGGAAGTGGTGCGTCTGATGGAAGAAGGAAAATGGGAAGAGCGCGTGCGACTGACAGGAGAGAGGCGATTGTTCAGAGTGGCGGATTTTGGTATAGACGAAGGAGAATTGAAAGTGTACACGGAGGACGGTAGGGCGCTCTACGTGGTCCCGAAAGGGCGTAGGTATGGGATTTTCCAAGAGGCTCATAGTGGAGTTTTTGCGGGTCACTTTAGCGCGCACAAAGTATTGAATAAGTTAAAGAAAGAAGTATTCTGGCCCGGAATGACGCAAGATATTTGCAAATGGACAAACGAGTGCCAAAAGTGCTTCGTCCATAATCCGAAAGAGGTGATGACCCCACCCCTGAAACCTATAGTGACAGCAAAGCCCTACGAATTGATAGGCGTTGACGTGTTGGATCTAGGGCTCACGAAGAGTGGGAATAGGTACGCCGTGACAGTTATCGATCACTTCTCGAAGTATGCGGCAGCCTATCCAGTGGGCGACAAATCAGCGGAGACCATTGCGAGGACACTTTTCACAAGGTGGATCGCAGAGGGGTGTAGGTGGCCCAAGACAATTCTCTCGGACAGGGGGGGAGAATTCGTGAACAAAGTCATGGAGGAGATTACGAAAATCACAAAAATAACGCATGCGACGACTAAGGGCTATAACCCTAGAGAAAATGGACTGACCGAGAGGTTGAATGGGACGATTGTGGCCATGTTAAGAAGAAGCACGGTCATCCCGGCGGAGTGGGATTCCAGACTGCCATTTTGCATGATGGCATATAACATGACGCCACACAGCGCGACGGGGGAAAGTCCCTATTTTTTGTTGCACGGCGTGGACCCGGCTTTTCCGACTGAAATCGTCCCAAATGGTGGCGTAACGTGGTACGCTATGGACAAAACATTAGACGAGTATGGAGCGGAAATTTTACAAGCGGTGGCAGAGGTCCATGAAAGGGTAAAAGAGTACAACACTAGGATACGCGAAAAAATGAAGAAATACTATGACAATATCCACAAGGTAGAAAAGAAGACGTTCCCAAAGGTGGGCGACCGAGTCTATGTGTTGTCCCCTAACGAAAGGGCACGAAACGCGCACCCCAAACTAGTGTGTGAATGGGCAGGGCCCTTTAGAGTGATTGAAGTCAGTCAAAATTCAGCTCTTGTAACTAGAATAGGGGAAAACAGTGAGCCGATAAGGGTGCAATTTGACATGCTAAGAATAGTGCCAAAATGTATCCCAGATGACAGGATCGACACGGAGCATAGCAGAGGAAAAAGAGGAAGAAAAGCTAGGATCAAAGTGCAGAAGATTTATGTTGGTTCTTTCAGAGGAGCCGCTGTAACGAGCGTCACGGACCGAGGGCACCTACAGTTCCAGTGCCTAGATGAATGTTTTGGCAGAGCTACATTGGGCGACATTCGTGGAATCGACTTTCCAGGAGCTTACGCAAGACGGGCTTTGGAGGACGTGTGGTCCGCCTGGAAAATAGCATCTCTGTTCATCAGGAAAGATATCGGTGTGGCGGAGAAAATTAAGCTGCATAAGGAACGCGCTGTCGTGCTCGACGAGGAGGCGTTACATCAGGTTTTAAGGTTGGCATACGAGGCGTGCACCGACTGGACTGAGTTCGTGTGCGTAAACAGGACAATAGCCAAGCACCCTGCAGTGGAGGATCATGCTGTACTGGAAATGTACAGAAAGGCGTTTGAAAAACTCAAGGAAGAGCTGAAAAACGAGAGCCGAAAACCCAGGAAGAAGAAGCAGGGACCAATCGGCTTCGCAGCCCCAGAAACTGCACTTCTTATGGAAAAAGATGGACCCAGGGGTGAGCTGGTCACGAAGGTGACTACGTCGTTCGAGTCGCTACAGGAGACCTTGCACAAGTGGAAGTCATACGGAACGTGGATCATCGTACTTCCGTTAGACACTAGTGGAAACAGTGCTGTCATCGAGGATGTCGTGAGATTGGCGAAGAGACATCTCGAGGAAGGAGGCACAATAATCACTGCCTGGACCCCCGTTACAGCGCATAATATGGACAAATGGATGGCGATAAGTAAACTGTGGAAAATCATCGACAACACGCTAGCAGAGTTCGCGGGGCCGGAACAGTTCAAAGTGACGGCCAGCAATTGTATCATGGAGGGCAAACTGTTTCTGGAGGCAGGCAGCCCTGAAGGATCGTCGCAGTTCTGCAAAGTCTACACTGGAGTTGCGGCAGCGAAGCAACTCTACGAGCTCATCAGTAGAAAAGTTCCTGAGCTGGACCTACCTCAGTTGACGTCTGATCGATCGGTGAGGACACCGATTCCTTCGAGGGGGGGCATGTTGGGCACAAGGGCCAATACACCAGAAAGGCCTCCATTAAAAAGGAGAGCATACCAGTGACCGTGGCTGGTCACCAATCAATGGAGATCGCGCGGGAGTCCCCTGCAATAAAAGGGGGAGCCTTGAGTTAGTTGTACTTGTTTTGTTCTCCGCGTTAGTATTCGTCGTGGCACATCGCTAGGTGCCAGCTTTGATCGACCCTTATACGCCTTAGTGGCCATATTGCCTTAGTGGCTTCCGTTGTGTTTTCTCTCTACGCGTGAGTATTCGTCGTGGCACATCGCTAGGTGCCGGCTTGATCGTATACGCCTTAGTGGCCATATTGCCTTAGTGGCTTCCGTTGTGTTTTTTCTCTACGCGTGAGTATTCGTCGTGGCACATCGCTAGGTGCCGGCTTGATCGTATACGCCTTAGTGGCCATATTGCCTTAAGTGGTTTCCGTTGTTCGCTTTCGTGGCACATTCCCCGGTATACGCCTCAGTGGCGAAGCATTATTGCCGTATTGCCGTTGTGGCAGATTCATAAGGATACACCTAGTGGCGCACTGTTAGTTGCCTAAGTGGCTAGTTCAGTGGCTCGGTAAGGTAAGAGGTGCACTTTACCGCGTAGCCAATTTGGGAGATCCCTTTTCCACGCGCGACTACTCGACGATCCCTGGACGATCCGGTGACGGCTAGCTAAGCAAGTGGGCTCTAATCGCAGCTCCCAATCCCAGCAGAGACTCCCGATCGAATCATCTTCGCTATTTTTTCTTAGTCGTGTGTTTTATTTTTTGGTGAGTTTGGTTTTTTGGTCGATTTTTTACATACTCTCATGCGTCCGTTGAGTTCAACGCCGTATCTCGTTCAGATACCCGGGTCAGTATTCGGCTTAATCGGGTCTTGCTTCTGTAAATGTCTAGGAGGAGGAACGGCGCAGAGGTATGACGGGTTTCTGTGGCGCAACCTGTTTTCCCCCCACAACCAGGTCAAGCGTACCGTCGAGTACCATTTGATGCAGCGCCCCCCCCCAAGGCCGAAGTCCGTTGAAACAGAACGCGCTCCTCACGAAGTCGAACTATGAGAAGCGTTGTTTGATGCTGCCCCCAAAATTGGTTTATCAAAAAAGAGCTGCTACGCACCGTCCACAAAAAAAAAATTCGTTCAAGAAGTACAAAAGTGCGAAAAGTCAAAGAATGATCATTGATGAGTCCTACCCCAACGAGCAAACGAGAAAAGGAGCAAAAAACGACAAACTAGTCACTAAAAATGGCATACTATGACAACATCTCTTCTTTATTTATTTCCTTCGGCAGACTTACCCAAATTTAGTACTACAGAGCATGATTCTCATTTGCACGTCTCCCTTTCGGTGGAAAGAAGCTTTGTAACCGCCTTAGCCAGCTGAGTGTTGATTGATCTTTTGCGTTGGCCTTGGAGCAACGGTGCTAACTTATTCTTAGTTGGGGGGGCACGCGGCGGCGCGGCAGTCTGCTCGCCTGGCATGTTCGGAAATCCGTGGGCCAGGGGGAGTGTAGGCAGTCTAGGGGGTGGGGGTGGGGGCAGTCACTTGACATGCGTGAAAAGCTGGAATGTTCGAGTTTACACTGTCTCGCTCGAGTGAGCAGACTGCCGCGCCGCCGCGTGCCCCCCCCCCAACTAAGTTAGCACCGGCCGGACAACTTATTTACTATTGAAATTTGAACAAATATTCAAATGATTATAACTTTCTTCAAATATGACGAATTTTCAATCTGAAAGCAGATTTGGAAGTTTTGTGAAGAGCTTCTTTCTAATCAGTATTGAAATTACAAAAAGTTATAAGAAATAACAAATTTAGATCAATTAACGAGGAAAATTCGAGATGAGCACGAGTTTTTACACTTTCCGAAGCAACAACTTGCTTCATTTTCGTCAAATTCGAAAAGTTAATATGGCAGACAAAACTAGAAGATTTTCTCTATCAAACCGGTTGCTAAAGCAGCTTTATACGTCCAGTATTATTCAAAAAATGGCCACGTTGAGGATTTTTTTGCAAAATTAACGAGGAAAATTCGTGATAAGTGTGAGTTTCTACGCTTTCCAAAGCCATAACTCCGTTCAAACTCATGCAATCTGAAAAGTTAATACGTCATCATAAACTAGAAGATTTGCTCTATCAAGGTTACTAGAACTGCTAAATACGTCCTATTTAAAAAATGGCCACGTTGAGGATTTTTGCCCGAGTACCGCCGAAAGGTACTTTTTCGCTGCATTGGCACTATTTCAACGACTATAGCTCCTTTCAGGCGATTATATACTAAAGTAGGAGCAGATTCGGAATCCTCGTGCTTTTCTCTTCCCAAAAGTGTAAAATTGTTTAGCGTATCTCAATTTTAACATTTGGACGTGCTTATGAATTACGCTGACAATGTGTTTTTCGTTGAATAGTGTACACCTCCCCGTAATTTCACATGAACCCTTTCAGAATCCCCCTTGATTTTTCCTGAATTGAGATCCTCTCTTCAGAGAGCCGTAGCTGAAGCGCGCGCAACCAACTGGCCCACTCTGGGATGCGCCGTGTGCTTCACATCCCTTCAGATTCGAGGACTCACTTGAAAGACAAAATATCCCTTGAAAATGTGCGAATTTCGGATTCTTCAATTTGTGCCGTGATAAAACACTGAAGTAACTAAGAATTGCTACGCGGACACCTCTGAATCACGAGTATTTATGGGCGGATAACACTATTATTGGAAATCCTCTGGCCTTCCATGGCATCAATTCCATCCTTGGTGTTTGTCCTCTTACAGTGATGATCCTACTCCATCAATCCGGACCCGATCTCTTGCTCCCCGATGGCCAAGTAGCGCACCCCCTCACCCGTCCTGTGACGTGTGAGGATTCCTCCCCATTCGCACGGCTTGACCCTACCCACAACCTTTGATTGAGTCAGCGGCTGGGCTTCCGTAAAATAGGCGTCTCTATACGGTGGTTCTTGGGTGACCGTAATTGCACCACGGCACTAAAATGTTCCAATGTTGACCGGTAGAACTCGCCCGCTATCAATCAGTCCCGGTGATAACCGCTTCTACATAAAATTTGCAAAGCAAGGTCGTCTGCCTTTCGTCATTGGGTCAAAGAAGTTGAGACACCTGTGATTTGAGTCATTTTTTCGAGCGCAAGTATCCGATCGCCGTTGTAACGGTTTTGTGGCATGGGATTTGTACTGGGGATATGATTAAAAATGTATTTTGTGGGGGTTTGTTCCCATTAGCTGAAAACTTTTGCGCTCAACCCTTGCACTTCACACACGCGCCGAATGGGCGGGCAGCTTGCTATCGACAGAATTTCTTCGTGCTGGCCGCGCCGTGGGATTGATTTCCATCCGCGGCCCCCTCTGTTCACCACCTCCATTTTTCCCGAAAGAGGTACACATGCGCATTTCGCTGAAAATGTTGTAAAGTAGTGTTTTCTCCTTTTCTATTGTATTTTGCTGCAAGTCATCTTTTCATTTTGTGCTGTTACACGTGTTAGAATTGTCGTTGTAGGCAGGCAAACGAACGTTTGGTAGAACTTTTCACCCATGAAAATCTTTGCGCTAATTTATAGACCTGTTTCTATCGGGCGTTGGTGTTCAACAGCTTTTCTGGCTGCCCAGCGGCAATCAATACTTTCATCAGAGATGTTTTCGTGGTCATTCTTTTTGTTCTGCCACAGATGTGTTCGTTTTTGTAATGTGGCGAATAGAACAGCGGCATTCAGCAGCATGTTATGTCAGCGGTCTCTTTCATTTCTCCGATTATGTCAAGATTTCAGTTATCGTTGCCATTTTGTGCCACCATCAGCTGATCAGCAATTGATCCACTTGCTCGCAATTTCGAGACACTACTTAGTTCTACCCTTTATTTTTTCAGAGATGTCGTCATCAGAACCGGAGCCAGATCAACCCGGTATTTACCGAAGTGAGCAGATGACACTCGCTCAACTTTTTCTCCAGTCTGAAGCTGCTTACCAATGTGTTGCCGAACTCGGTGAACTTGGACTGGTCCAATTTCGAGATGTGAGTCAATGTTTCGCTTGCTTCTGAGTCAACGACGTTGGGATGTCTCAAGGTGAACGAGGTGACGTGGCCGTGATGATTACAACATCATGCATTTTGATGAGTCAACTTTTGTTGGGAACATTTGACTTTGACAAAGCTTTTTGAAAAGGTTCGAATTGGTGTCAAGGAATTGCTTACGAATTACTTTCACATTTCGTTCGATTGCACAGCGCTGGCAGTATATTTGCGAAAGGTAGAAGCGCGGAAGTCACTTTCATTATGAACGTTTACAAAAGTCTGGTTTCTCTTCGCACAAGGGAATTGGACCCGTAAAACTGATTTTAGCGATGATACAGTTGATACATGCGGCTAAATGAGCGGCTGTTCTATTGTGGCCAGCAAGCTCTCCTCATCACGTTTTGATTGAGGTTGGTTGAAGGTTTTCAAGAAACTTCCTAGAAAACAGCGTTCAGATCAAGTTGTTTCATGTTTCCCTAGGAGAGAAGAAGGATGTTTCAAGTAGTGCAATTTGTAAGCAAAGCTATTAGGGGAAAGGTTCATGCTGTTGACATCGTGTCTAAATCCAGAAAATCGCTGCAAATCGGTAGTAAGTGTACGTCTACCTTTCTTGAACTACCCAGATCTAATCGCTAATAAAGCGTTCATAAGGTGATAGTAACCAAATCAATGGTTCTTGGGCGTACACATCTGTACTTGAAGAGCCTGATTTACACTAGCACCGGCGGAAATTAGAAGTTCAAACCTTGACGTGTTTGGCAATTTCTCGCATGACTGAGCGCATAACATTTTTGGTAAGTGCGATCCGACCTCGAACCCAGATCCACCTGAGTGGTTATTTTGGAAGCAATGCTACAAATCTGTTATTCAGAATGTAATTGCTATTCTCCAAGCTGTTCTATGACCTGATCAACCTGTGTCAGATCGGTGGAAAGGGGTCCCGCAGAAAGGAGCAACCGGATGAGGACGTCCCTTTGAACACTGGAAAAGCATGTGCTGGTATTTTTTTGCGGACGCAAAGTTACCCTGCGTGGGTGAGCGCTCGTTGAGCTTACATTCGTTCATTTACTAGTGGCTATTACAACAGCGCAATACAGCTTCGAAACACCAACTCCAAAGCCATGCAATGCAAAACGAGCTGGGTCTAGAAGATTGCAAACAAGCGGAGATCATGAAGCTTAGAAGCAATATGAACAAGAAAAGTTTTGCAGATGGAACAGAAGCGTGAGGTAGAAAGACAGCTGCACGAACAGGAGAAGAACCAGAATTGTTCATCGATGCCAACATCTGATATGATTATTGGCAAGCATCTCTGTCAGATCTTGAAAATGAATACTATAATAGTAATATAATATACAGCAGGAGGGGAGGGGGTGAGGGAATACTTCTTTACTCTTTAAAATTGGATCAATCGTACTTTAATATTCAAACTAGATGCTTCTTCATATTTCAACAACACATATAAATCTACTAAATAACATGGGTGGCCGGATAACATCAGAAAAATCTATCATAGAAACATAGTGCAAGACTTGAGCTCAACAAGTTTCTCGGCGGATCGTGGACCATTACGGCTTTGAAACGCTCGTCGGCGGGGGCGTATATAGAGCTACAGCGTCTAAGAAAATTGCCTACCAGAGGTTAGATGGAAGTAATCGGATAGCCGCTTCCAGCTTTAGCATTTACGGTGCGCCTGTTTGAGTTTTTGAGTTTGACCGCGATAATGGATGATTCATATTTTCGAGACTGTGAAAGTGTTTTGCTTGTTGTTTGGACGGGCGCGTTTGTGCCGCCGCCTCACGCGCGTCGTGGATTTTGTGTCCTGAATGAGCAAAAAAGCAGAGCAGCAGAATAGCACAAAGTCGTATCAGTATTCTATTATATAAGGCATGAATCATCCCTATCAGAAATGTGCAAAAAAAAAACACGACAAATAGTTGGTAGGTGATTGCTACCTGCCAGCCCTTAAGCTGATGTCAGAGTCCGCGATCCGTGGCAGTTTTCGCTGATTTTCGCGACTTGCGCGATTCACGTGGGTTACGAGTCGCGTCATGGAAATCACAAGTGGCCGATCAATGCTGCAAGGTGTTTTTTAATCCGACCCTACTTCTGCTTGATAGTGATGGCTGAGTGACGAATGCTCATGATTCCACGTTTCACAAATCAAGGGTGTTTTCAAAATGCTAGCCGAAATGAGCCTTTTGAAGTTTGCGAAATCCGCCGCCAGTTTTGCGGCATTCGGCAAAATCGCCCCGCAAAGCACGAACTGGCGGGAACGTGGACTCTGGACACCGAAGCTTTATGGCTGCCAACCGTCTGCAGTCCAGGCAAGAGCATTTCGCACAAATATTTCTCAACGAAAAACTTCTGCTAGACCGACGTCATAGTCGGCGACGGAACAAGCGATGGAGCGATCGCGATCGCTCCATCGCTTGTCCGTCGCTTGCCAATCGCTCTTGGTCGAGCGATTGGCAAGCGATTGCGCAATCGCTTGCAAAGTGCACAAGCGACGGGCAATGGCTCTGCTCGATCGATACCGCAGCCGACTGCATTGACTGGGGGCGGGGCCAATCGCCCGTCGCTTGTGCACATTGCGCAATCGCTTGCCAATCGCTCGACCGAGAGCGATTGGCAAGCCGAC